AGGAGCCGGCACCCGCGGGCGGGCGAGCTCCGAGCGAAGGGCGCGGCCTTTCTCCTTGCCCCTGGCCCAGTGCCTGACCCCGCCGAGTAGCAGGACCTGGGCCCTGCCCTCCCGACTCCCATTCCCGACCCCTGAGGCCGCCCTCTCCCTGCAGGGCCAGCAACCACGGCATCAATCTGCATGAGATACCCCCCGAGCGGCGCCAGAAGCTGGAGAGGGCGAGGCCGGGCCTGTTCCCGGGAAAGTGACGCGGCTGGGACAGGTGCTGCCCCTTGGCTCCCTCACCCCAGGGTCCAGGGGCTGCACACCTCTGGGAGATGCCTCCCGGGGACGGCACTTCTTTCCCAGATCAAGGACCAGCCCTGCCTGCAGCTTCCCATCCAAGCCCGTGGGCCTCGTTTCTCTCTGCCTTAGGGAGGCCAGGCTGGTTCCTAAACCCAGAGCTTTCCCCTGGGAGGCGAGCACGAGCCACACAGATTCTGGTAGGGTAGGTCTGCAGTGGTCCAGGAACTCAGACTTGGGACTCCCTGTAACCATGACCTTCTGTGACCTCTCCTCTGACCCCCTCTGCAATAACCAGCCCTCCACCCACACCCCCACAGGCTGTGCCCTGCTCAAGAGACAGAACTCTAGGGGGCAACATTCACCAGAGGACAGGTGACTGCAGAAGCCCTTCCGGACCCCACCCACCTTCAAGAAGCTCTGACCCATGACCCTCCCCTTCCTGGGTGAACCCTCATGATTCCTTTCCACGATTTCCCCTGACACACTCCTCTCCCCTCAGGTCACCCCCAGAAGGTCCTCTTCCTGACAGTTGCTGCTGTAGGCGACCACATCTGCCTACTACCCGCCGGTGGCTTCTGTGCAGCTTTTCGTCCAAGGATTCTGGGCCTTTGAAGATCTGGTTGCCAACCAGCTGTGTGACCTTGGGAAGGCCTGGTCCCTCTCTGGGCTTGGGTTCCCCTCCATGGTGAAATGCGGAGTGGCCTAGGTGGTGTCCACACCCCTGGCTCTGACAGCTGGGTTTTAGAATGGTTGGCCTTGGGATACAGGGCACTGGGCATGTGACCTCCAGCCCCAGTGACCCTGAGACCAGCAGGATGTTGAGATAGGGGGTGGGAGGGGGGGTTCTCCACTTTCCAGGGCTTCTTAAGGCACCAGGAAGGAGGTTCTGGGATTGGATGCCCCAACCCCAGAGAAGGTGACCTCCTGTCCCACCAGAGTAGGGGATGTCACACAGGCTGAAGATGTGAGGGCTTCCATTTAGCCTCAAGTGTCAGTCCCTGCTCCATCCCCCACCAGTCAGGAACTGGCTCCTGCACTTGTGGGCATAGCCTCGTAACTTGCCTAAATGCAGAGAAAAGCTTGCTTCAAGGCGCTGGAGAAAGAAAAGCAAACCAACTGCACCAAACCTTTACTCACCAGAACACCCAAGGGATAGTAGTGTTCTCAGCTTAACTGGCAGCCAACCCCATGCTGGCAAGTCCCCGCTGAAGCGTCTTTTGTGGAACTCTGATGTTCCAGAGCATGGGCCTCGGCATGTCTGACTGGATGTCCTTCCCCATCGCTGCAGACCATGTTAGAATTTAGCAGGTGCGGCGGGCACCCAGGCTGCCACTCTAAGTAGTGAGCATCCAGCCCCTGGAAGTATGCAAGTAGAACTGGAGACACCATTGACCAAGGACATAGCCAGAGGGAATTCCTGGGTGGAAGGATGAACTAAATCCTCAATATGCAAAGTGTGGTTGGTGGACCAGCAGCAGTGACATCACCTTGGAGTTTGTTAGAAATGCAGAATCTCAGGCCCATGGAACTAATGCTCCTGGGATCCCTAATATTTCAGAATCTCTAAGATGTCCTGAAAACCAGGCTAGAAACTAGCCTGAGACTTGTTCTGATTGGCCAATGGGGTGATTTTTATTTTGTTTGAGTTAACATTTTAAAATCAAGAGATGCCACATTCAGCCCCAGCCGGTTTGGCTCGGTGGATACAGCATCAGCCTGGGGACTGAAGAGTCCTGGGTTCAATTCCAGTCAAGGGCTTGTGAGCCTGAGTTGCAGGCTTTTGCATGCTCCATCCCCAGTAGGGAGCATGCAGAAGGCAGCTGATCAATGATTTTCTTTCATCATTGATGTTTCTATCTCTCTCTCCCTCTCTCTTCCTCTCTGAATCAATAAAGATGTATTTTTTAAAAAGAGATACCACATTTAAAAATATATATATACCAAATTTCTCTCTCCTCTGAAATTACAAGCCCTGCAGAGGAGCAACTGCTGGCTCTGCTGGAGCTGAAGAGCAACTGTTCCTCACTCCGGGCTTCACTCTTCAGTTCTCACGGCCCCCATCGCTCCCTGTGGACTCGGAGACACCAGGACTCTCCGAGCATCTCTCCCGTGCGTGGCTGGCGCCTGCAGGCATTTGATCTCAGGACTCCGGGAGTAACCAGTGTTAGGACTGCAAGTGCTCCTGGAAGTTGCTTTGTCTGATTTGTAAAATCCTTGAAATCCACAAGCTTAGTGGCCGAGCCCTCCTCCCTAAAGGTAGAAAAACCTAAAGTCCAGCTCTTGTAGATTCTGGTTACTCAAGGTGGCGCTGCTGTAGCGAGTCATTTAGTGCATTTTAAAAAACACATTTTAAACAGAGTTTGGAGATGACGAATTAAAGATTTTCTAAAAACCTTGATACGCACACAAAATATTTTTTAAAATTATGTACATTTTAAAACGTCTCTCTTCAGATTTTCTCTGCACACTTAGGTCCCAGGGACTGAGGCCAGAGTCTGCATTGCTGGTGCTGGACCTGACAGTGTGGATTTCGCTCTCACTCCCCTGCCTCTTCCCTCCCTTCCCACCCCACCGCACCCTCTCCTTCCTCTCTCCCCGCTGTGAGGGGCCTGGGTAGCTAATGGCCTGTAATGCAGTGAAGCCTCAGGAAAGAGTTGAGCTGGGATTGGTGAAGGGGGATTATTGTGGGTTGGCTGGGGCAGTGCATTCCCTAGAGGAGGAGGAGAAGGAGGAGGAGGAGGGGAAGGAGGGGGGGGAGAAGGAGGGGGAGGAGAAGGAGTAAGAGGAGGAGAAGGAGGAGGAGGAGGAGAAGGAGGAGGAGGGGGAGGAGGGGAAGGAGGTAGAAGTGGTGCAGGCAGGGCTGAGCAGGTCCCTTCCCACCCTCAACTCAGCCTTGTTACCAGGCCTCCATCTCAAAGGAGCAGATGTGACTGGGGAGGAGCCTGGTAGAGAGAGTCCTGTCCTCAGATAGGGCAGCTAGGGGACCACCCACCCCAGAGCTCACAGAGCCAGTGGAAGAAGAGAAGGGGAAAACAGTTAAGCCTGCCTCCTCGCTGCCCCTCAAGCCCTCTTTCTCTATCCCTGACTCTCCCTCTCCCGGGCTCCCTGTCTACCTGCCTCTAGGCTCCTCTTTCTCGGTCCCCAGGTCCCCTTTCTGCCTGGCAGTTTATCCCTGCCTTTCTCTGCAGTTCCCCCATTTCTGTGGAACCATTTTTCCTGGACCCAGTCAATATCCTGTAGCTCTGCTACCCCCTGAACCAAGTCCTCTCCACCTACTTACTCCCTCCTGTTATTCCTAGAACCTGGGTAACTCTTAGACCTGGCTTAGTCATTAGGCACGCCCCGCCTTCAGATGTGCTCACACTACCTCTGCCAGCTGGTCTGTGCCAGGAGCCCACACCTGGGACTGTCTCCCCTTTGCAATGGCTCTGTAACCAGGACCAGTGATGGCCAAAGCAGGGACCTCCCGCAGCTGCTGCTCCTGGGGTCTGGGCCCTGCTCCCCATCCCCACCTGCAGTAGACACAGGCGCCTCCTTTAGGGGATCTGTGATGCTGCATTGTGGGGCTTTGCTCACAGGATCCTCTGGGCGGTGCACTGTGGGCATCAGGCCAGGTGCAGTGGTGTTGAGTTTTTGGGGTGGAGTTTGGGGTTGAAATAAAGGTGTGCTTTCTTCCATTTCCTGTTGTGTGGTCCTTTGTCCTGGGTGGTCTGAACACCCCATCCCCGGGATGTTCAAACCTGGCATTGTTGCGGGGGGGGGGCTTCAGATAGAGGTGAACCCCAGATATAGCATAGGCAGGGGGAGGTGAGCCAAAACAACACCCCCCAAAAACTCCTCAGCTCAGGGGGTCTGCTCTGAGGGGACCACGTAGGAAGCCTCAGGCCTTTTAGGCTTATAGAAAAGATCAGGGTGCCTGAGGCTCTGGAAATGGGTGGTGTGGCCTCATCCCTTGGTCACAGGCAAGAGAGAGGACGGGAGAGACGGGCAGAGCTTGCCTGTGGCCATGACACGTGACCCATGACCTATGAAGGCCAGAGGCCAAGACTGAAGGAACAGAGCCCCCAAATGGGGAAGTTGAGGTCCATGGGTCTCTGGGCAGGACCTCGCCAACAACCCACATGCCACCTCTGACCCCTCAAGAGCCTGCCACTGAGAATGAGAGCAGGACAGACCATCCCAAAGCCACCAGTGTGTGACCAGCCCATTGGTTATCCATTTCCTTTTGAGCCCAGCTGTCCCAGCCTCGGGCCTACTGTTCCTGACATGATGGCTCATAATGGACATGGCTGTTCTGCCTTCCCAGCACCCATCCTGCCAAACGGTGGGCAAACATGCCTGCCTCATTCTCAGTCCCTGTGGAACTGGTGGAACCGACCCCCGACCTCCCTCCAGCCCTGCCCAGCCCCTCCCTTGGGCTGCAGGCCTTGCTTGAAGCCCAGGCAGGTTCCCCGGGACCCAGTAAAAGAAGCTCAGCGCTGAGATGCTCCTGGAAGCCAAGAGGAAACGTTGTCCCTTTTCTCTGGGGCTGCTGAGAGGATGGGACGCTGGTCTCGCCACCACAAGAGAAGGAGCAGAACCGACAGACGGGCGGACACCCACTCTGGCTGTTCGGGTGCCACGGGCTCACAAGTTGTTTTTTTGCTTAAGCCAGATTGAATCGGTTTTCTTGTTGCTGTTGTTTGTTGTTGTTCTTTGTGGTCAAAATTGTCCTGACAGACAGTCCTCAAAAAAGTTATGGAATGCAGTGGGGGCGAGACTGGTTTAACATGAAAGGAAAGAGAAAAATGCTGGGCTGGGAGGGAGGAGGCGAGTGCAGGAGAATGATGGAGAGAGCAGTCGAGAGAACAGGCTCTGAGCCAGCCGGAGGCTCTCTGTGCCGTGACTGTCCATGTAGGGGAGCCTAACCCAGCAAGAGGTTAGGGCAGTGATGGCGAACATTTTGAGCTCGGCGTGTCAGCGTTTTGAAAAACCCTAACTTAACTCTGGTGCCATGTCACATATAGAAATTTAACAAGAAATTTTATGTATTTTATTGATTTATTACAGAGAGGAAGGGAGAGAGATAGAGAGTTAGAAACATTGATGAGGGAGAAACATGGATCAGCCGCCTCCTGTACACCTCCCACTGGGGATGTGCCCGCAACCAAGGTACATGTCCCTGACCAGAATCGAACCCGGGACCCCTCAGTCCAAAGGCTGACGCTCTATCCACTGAGCCAAACCGGCCACGGCTATAGAAATTTTTTGATATTTGCAACCATACTAAAACAAAGATTTATATTTTTGATATTTATTTTATATATTTAAATGCCATTTAACAAAGAAAATCAACCAAAAAAATGAGTTCGCGTGTCGCCTCTGACACACGTGTCATAGGTTCGCCATCACTGGGTTAGGACCTGGGGTGAGAAAATGCACACAGCCTTTTTGCCTTGTCAGGAGTCTTGTGCTGACTCAGCATTTAGAAGGTGGAGGGATATTTCTGGGTCCTGCCTGGAAGGAGGACATGCAAATGAGAGTGTGAATGGTCTCTAATCTCAGCACAGCGCCTGCTGTCAACACTCAATAAGTCAGCGGTTCTCAACCTGTGGGTCGCGACCCCTTTGGTGGTCGAATGACCCTTTCACAGGGGTCGCCTAAGACCATCCTGCATGTCAGATATTTACATTACGATTCATAACAGTAGCGACATTACAGTGATGAAGTAGCGACGAAAATAATTTTATGGTTGGGTCCCAACATGAGGAGCTGTATTGAAAGGGCCAGAAGGTTGAGAACCACTGCTAAGTACTGAGTAAGTGACTAGACTTTGACAGGGAGATTAGGGTGGGGCAGATGGCTCTCCCTGCTGCCTGAGTGAGGAAGGGAGTAGAGAAATTGGGGAGGACACCTGTGATGTCTGGAAAACCTAGGTTCCTGCAGGGTGGGGCTTGCTTCTCTTGGCTAGAGACTCACCCATCCAAACTAAAGCCACTTGTCACCTCCACCAGAGACACCCCCCCTCACCATCCACCCCTGAGCTTGTGTCTTGGGCCCTGGACCCCGAGAAGGGCGTGCTGTCCAGGTATTTACCTATTCTGCTCCCAGGGAACTTGGATCCTGCCGTTTGGAACCACATGCCCGCACACCCCCAATCCTCTTTCCTCACACCATTTTGCACACGTGAACACGGCTCCAGCGGTGAAAGGACTTGGAGGCTGGGTGTCCGGCAGATCTCGGGCTCAGGAAGCAAACCCAGTAGCTCAGACTCTGGGCCGCAGGTGCTTCTCAAGGGTGCATTGGGGAAGTTCCTGCTACAGGCAGTTCCGCTTCATGCCGCCTTGATTCTTCCCTGAAATCCCGCAATTTAAACTCCAAAACAACACCTGTGTCATCAGATTATAAAAGAGTTTTGACTTGGTGGGATATGAACGTTTTATCTCTCTCCAGTCAGTGCCTTCAAAACTTTAGTCCAGTTGAAAACTCCAACCTTTTCTCTGCTCTAAATGACTGCTCCCAACCTCGCCTTTCAGGGACCCGGGGTGGGAATAATTCATGTCTGCTCCTTCCTGCCTCCCCCAACTCTGGCTCCATGATCTGGAGAGGAGGGACATGGGGGGCAAAATTCGATCTTGGGAACCCTGCCCCTCACTCTTCAACTGAGAAATACAGAGGGAGCTTGACTGGTCACCTGCTGGAGAAGTTGCCCT